GGAGCTCAGAATTCCGAATCTCTGCCGATGGATTACTTCGTTTCCAAGACAGGGTGTGTGTCCCAGATGACAGTGAGTTAAAAAAGGACATCATGATGGAGTCCCATAGCTCGAAGTTTGCCATGCATCCAAGAAGCACCAAAATGTACCAAAGCATGCGACCCCGGTTTTGGTGGCATGGGATGAAGAGAGACATAGCCGACTTTGTATCTAAATGCTTGGTATGTCAGCAGGTCAAGGCAGAGCATCAGCGCCCAGGTGGGTTACTTCAGCCTTTACCGATCCCGGAGTGGAAGTGGGAACATATCACCATGGACTTCGTATCGGGGCTACCCAAGGCACGTTCAGGACATGATGCCATATGAGTAATCGTTGACCGACTTACCAAGTCTTCCCACTTCCTAGCCATCAGGGTGACCGATTCATTAGACAAGTTGGCAAGGATATATATCCGGGAGATAGTCAGATTGCATGGGGTTCTAGTGACAGTAGTATTCGACATGGATCCCAGGTTCACTTCTCAGTTTTGGAGTAGCTTCCAGCAAGCTATGGGAACAAAGCTGTCTCTTAGTACTGCCTTTCATGCCCAGACTGATGGACAATCAGAGAGGACAATTCGTACGCTTGAGGATATGCTCCGAGCTTGTGTCCTTGACTCCGGGGGCCATTGGGATGACCATCTACCCCTGATAGAGTTTGCCTACAACAACAGCTACCAAGCAAGCATCGGCATGGCTCCATATGAGACGTTATATGGGCGCCCGTACAGATCACCGATTTGTTGGGAGTAAGTGGGCGATTGAAGATTGTTCGGCCTGGAGTTGGTAGAAGAGACCACGTCCAAGATAGTTAAAATCAAGAAGAACATTCAGACAGCTCAGAGTAGGCTGAAGAGTTATGCGGATACCCGGAGGAGAGACCTAGCGTTTGAGAAAGGCGACCGGGTGTTTCTTAAGGTCACTCATTTCAAGGGAATTAGTAGGTTCGGCAAGAGTAGAAAATTAAACCCCTGATATATTAGACTATTTGAAATCTTAGACATGATTGGTACTGCTTCCTATAGACTAGCACTGCCTCCAGAGCTCTCCAGAGTTCACAACGTGTTCCACGTATCCATGCTACGTAAGTACAACCCGGAACCTTCTCATGTATTGGCTCATGAACCGCTTCCACTCCAAGAGGACTTATCTTATGAAGAAGTACCAGTCGGTATCACGGACTGAAAGAGCAGAATACTCCGCAACTGGGAAATATCATTTGTAA